ATTTATATTGATTTCAGAGAGGAAGGGAGAGGGAGAGAGAGATAGAAACATCAATGATGAGAGAGAATCATTGATCGGCTGCCTCCTGCACATCTCCTACTGGGGGTGCAATCCGATCTTGTGCCTTTAACCAGAATTGAACCTGGGACCCTTCAGTCCACATGCCAACTCTCTATTCACTGAACCAAACTGGCTAGGGCTGCCAACATATTTTAATTAGCTTTCACTGGTTTACCTTGCCTCTGATTATCAACTACAAAATAACAATAATTAGGACCAGCCCTGTAAAAGGATGAATGAAAATATGCCACACATATTGAGAAAACAGACCAGAATATTCTTCTTCTTGCCCTAGGAATATCAAAAGCTAAGTAATTTACCATTCTCCCAAAATATAAAACCAATTAGTACATCAAAAACTAGCTCAAAAAAATAAATAAATAAAGACACACCGGATAAGCAGGAGCCCCACAGCAATCCCGTTTGTTTTCCACAGAGCTCCAAATGTTAGTTTGATTCCAGGCTCTGCCCATTTCTTGTTTTTGCAAGGTCTGAAAAGTCAATTATTCTAAACGTAATCTGCAGCCTTAAAAACTGGTACTTTGCCAAGTAATTTCAAGTGCTTCCCGAAGGAAAACTAATAATTTCACTGTTTTTCTTTTGGTTGATGTTACAGAAGTAAATTGTATATACAATTAATTCATCCCTGATGTTTGCTATCAACTCAAAGAGCTTAGAATGGGGGGATTCCGATTGAAATGCATAGAGAACAGATGGTTGACTCTCCCAGCTTCTGCTGACTGGCCTCCATTCTTCTGAACGCTGATTAGGGATTAAGCTGGTATGTGAGTGATTTCACATGCTAGCTTCCACAGAGGTAGCTCATATCCTAATCTGAGACAGTAACTGCTGTGTCAGTATGCACATGCTTCTGAAATAGACTGGGAAATTCTCAAATGCCCTGAAAATATGTATTTCCACATATTCCATTTTAAAAGTTAGTCATTTTTAAACATTTTTTTTTTGGTTGGTGTTTTCAGTTCACATCTTTATAAACATTTTCCTAATATAGTATTTTGCACTTTGTCAGAGCTTGATAAATCTTGGTTGAACAAATTGATACATACATTCTTATAATATTCTTTTCAGGGCAAAATATTCCCAAATACTTTCATTTCACCAAGAGTAGAAGTAAGACATGGAGCCACAAAGGAATTGGGTTCCTCATCATTACTGGAGTTTGATAAGGGCTTATTTATCTAATTCTAAATTCTCATCCACCTCTGAGATTCTATAAGTTAGATATTTTCCATTGGAGAGGAAGTAAAATGCCTCTGAAAGGAATCCCTCAGTCTCCATGAAGGAGTGACAGTTACCTAATGAATCTATAATGTGGACACTGAGCATCAAGATCAGCGAAGATGAAAGTGCAATACACAGAGTGAGCTCAAGTACATTGTTATTTGTTCCCATGCTTGGATTCATTCATTCATGGAGTTGTTTTATGTACCTGCCAAGAACTGAGTCAAGCACAGCTAAAGCCATGAACTGTTCCTGGAACAGGTATCTGTCGGCTAGTCTTCCTGTTGACCTCATTTCCATGTTTACTTAGTCACTCAATAATTCTGAGCTTCTGCCGTGCCAGGCACTATGCTAAGCATTAAGGGTATAGCAGTGTACAAATTCGACACAATTCCACTCATGGAGCTTACATAAATAAATGTACAATATCAAACTACTTGAACCTTCTGGAAAAAAAAGAGAAAGAATACAATAGGGAACCAAATTTTCTCTTTCAGGGATCTTCTCCAAGGAAATGCAATTTAAGCTCAGATCTAAGATGACCAGAAGTTAACCAGGCAAAGTGTAAGAAGAGCTTTCCAGTTTGAGGAAAGAGCATGTGGGAAGCGCTCGACAGGAAGAGATTGAATGCATTTTGTGAATGTAAGTAACGTGGTCAGCAAAGGGAAGATGTTTAAGAGGCAGGCAGGGGTGAAATCATGCACAGCTTGGATGCTCTGTTAATGACTTTGCATTTATACTAATGCAAAGAGAGCAATAGTTCTGATCTGTATTTTTACAGATCACTGGCTGCACTGAGAATATATCAGAAGGACAAGAATAGAAGTGGTGAGACCAATGTGGAGCTACTGTAGATGGGAGATGATGGAGGCTTGGATTAAAGTGGAACTGAAAGTAGAGAAGAATAAATAGATTTAAGGTACATTTTGGAGGTAGAATCAATAGAACTAGAAGATAGATTGAATGATGGATGTGATCAAGAACAAGGTCTAGGTATAATTCTCAAGTTTTTGGCTTGGGCAATGGGGTAAATGTATTTGCCATTTATTGAGTTGGGGAAGCTTGAAAGGAGAGCAAAATGGGGTGAAATCAAGAATTTTAGTATCAGTGTACTGGTGGTAATACCACTAACGTGTGTGTGTGTGTGTGTGTGTGTGAGAGAGAGAGAGAGAGAGAGAGAGAGAGAGCCCTTTTTTATTCTAGAAGTGAAGAATAAAATAGGAAAAGGGGGAAAAAGAAGACAATTTAAATAAATATAAAATAAAATTCCCAAAAGGATGATGGAGGGTAGGGTTTGGAGACTGATGCATATCAGGATTGCAGAGGATATACAATTTGAAAAAAGGTGTACTTGACATTATACTGTAATTTTTTTTAATTTGGGGAAAAAAAAACCTATGTTCTTGATAATATAGATTATAGATTCTATAATATAGAAAGTAAACTAAAAAGAATCATATCTGGTGGGTCTACACAAAAGGTAGACTGTATCATCTGCTTATTGGCTTTGGTGAGTTTTTATGGAGGGATGCATCAAAATCCCCAGTGGAATTCAAGGAATGTAATTTTTTATGTTCATTGGAAAAGAGCACAGGTTAAAAAAAAGAGATTGCTTAACACTGAGCCAGAAGAAGGGAAATGAGAAGGCATGGTAAAAATAAAGGAGAGAAAAGAAATGGGTGGAGAATTTTTCCAGCAAGCAATGACATCTCTGGCCTCATGCCTGTGCCAAAGCAGGTGCTAATGGACACCTGGGTTTGCATCCCATTCAGGCCACTTATCAGTGGGTGGCCTTGGGCATGTCAGGCGACTGCCCCAGCCTCGGTTTTCTTATTTATAAAAACCGATAATGATAGCACCTATCTCATACAGTGATTGTCGAGGTTAAAAAGAATAACTCATAAGAAGTGCTTAAAATGCCTGGCACAGAGGAAGAGCTCAAAAAGTGTTAGCTGCCTTTCTGTAGCTGACTAGATGCATAATTACTAGGAAGTGGTTGTAGGTGTGTGTATCTTCTCACTTCCCTAGTGCTATGGTGACTTTGCTCTCTTAGGTTCAAAACTATATAGTTCACTGTATCAAAAAATAGTCTTTATGATTTGTTAAAAATATAGGAGGATATGATTAATATTTATAAAGCATCCTAAATATTATTAGGATTTAATTTTTGGAAATTAGTGAAAATGCCTCATCTAATTACATAGCCAAAAATATGTCTTCTCATTTATTTCTAAAAATGTTAGCTATCATTTAAAATTTGCTATTTAACTCCCTAGGGAGGTCAGTAATTAACTTCTAAACTTATTCTTTGAAAATACCAAAAATTAGACATAATGTTCTGAAACCCTCTTGATATATTCATTATCACTTTGAAACATAGTAAAATCTATATTTTCTCAGCCCTAACAATATTATGAAGACATATGAAAATATTCCATCTGAAAACATACCTATGTAAGCATCCCCTTAAATCTAGGAACATCACAAGTGAGATCTCTCAATTGAAACTGAGTTGGGACTCCCTTATGGAACACTGCACTCTCTTTTCCTTCCTGACTCTCTTTTCTCTCTGACTTTGGTTCTTACGTAAAAGTGGTTTTATTATTTACCATACATATCCTTTAGAATATTAATGCACAAATTACATCCAACCTTTAGACTTAGAACAATATGTTTACAAAATTGTGGAAAGACAGAAAGTATTCTAAGGTCAAATCTGGAATCCACACTTATTAGTAATATCATACTGATGGCAAGGCCTTGACTGCTTTAAACTTTGTTATTATTTTTATATAAAACAGGAATCACTAAATAAGAGAACATATGTAATTGCCTAGCTTGATAACATACTGTGAGAATATATTATTGCCCTGGCTAGTTTGGCTCAGCGGCTAGAATATTGGTTTGCAGACTTAAGGGTCCCGGGTTTGATTCTGGTCAAGAGCATGTACCTCAGTTACAGGTTTGATTCCTGACTCTGGTCGGGGCACCTGCAGAAGGCAAGCAATTGATGTGTCTCTCTCACATCAATGTTTCTCTCTCTCTCTGTCTCTCCCCCTCTCTTCTACTCTCTTTAAAAATCAATGGAAATATATCCTTGTCTAAGGATTAACAGAAAAAAAAAAGAATGGTGAGAATTAACAGAAAAATTAAAAGAATATTTTTTTTTGTGGTCAGATAGAACTGTTATGTAGTTTTGGACAAGTTGTTTAATACCTCAAGGAGTCAGTTAAGTGATGGCACTAATTTAATACTTTAGTTAAAATATTAAATGGTGATAATAGCATCTACTTCTTAGGCTATGTTACACCTGGAGCACAGTAAGTGTTTACTAAATATTATCTAAAAATATACTCAATAAATGTTCTATTTTATCCTCGGATTGAGGGAAATAGTGCTACTTAAATTTCAAAGTTAATTCTTTTAGAAAAATGTAATTAATACTTCATTAAAAATGCATGGGAACCAAGAACATTGGAGCATCATGTGATCATGTCTGAATGCTCTATGAACACACCAGGAAAAACAACAAGGCAATGTTCTTAAATTCTCCCATTGCGCCAAGGGAGCAGAACATCTCTCCGCCTCGAGGAAGATGTCCAGTGCAAGAGAAGTGAGCAGAGGCGGGCTCTGCCCATTCTTTCCTGGTGAAAGCACATGCAATTCGAGAAGATGAAGTGAGGAAGCGCATGCAGTACCTGGTCATCTCAGAGTCAGGGAGCAGGCCTAGGTGGTAGTGGGGGTAGGGAGCTGATAGAAGGAAGCTTTTGTCACACTCAACAGGGGAATAGTGCCTGGGAGAAGCAGGCTTATCACACAGTTTGTTCACAGTGCTGTAAACGGGTTCCGGAGGCCTGGTGACACAAGAGGAAGAGAAAGAGTTGCATGGTTAGCACACACACTGAACAACTGTGCACCTGGCAGCATTTCACCATACGCGAAAGTAAAAAACCAGAACAATGTTATGGGCCTGAGTTAAGAGTCTTTTTGTAGGAAACAGGATGTCTGGTTAGAAAATGGAACTTTGGCTCACATTTGGCATGACTAACATTTACATGCCACATACCTCAGTAGTGTCAAAATCAACCTGCAAATGCCATGCCTTTTTGGATAATCCAGTCTGAAATGCCACACCTTGGGATGCTCTGACATGTCTATTTATTTATTTATTTATTTATTTATTTATTTATTTGTTTATTTATTATCTTTATTGTTGAAAGCATCACATATACATGGCTTCTTTGTAAACTTTAATCTCATCTTAAATGTGTACTTCATAGAGATGTTCACTCCTTGATCATTGCGGCCAAGACATCCTGTTATTTTTCGCAGCACATATTTCACTTCATATTTTTTTCTCAGCATGGAATAATCTTTCTTGTGGGTTTGTTTTGTTTAATTTATTATTGCCACTGTCACTACACCATGGATTTTATAAGGACAGACACTTCATTTGTTTTGTTAGCCACTAAAATAGAGTCTGGGACACAGTACACCTTGCATAAATATTTATTGAATGCCTGCATAAATAAAAATATGCATACCACTTTTCACATACCTTGCAAATATTGTGGGGGTGGTTGTTGGCCTTACCTAGGAATCTAATAGCTTGTATGATCTGGGTGTTTCCTCTAAATATTAATTTATAAATTATCCCCCCCTCCTAACAATTGATTTCAGGGAGTTTTCTATACATAGGATACTCATTTTAGTAAAATGTCTATTAAATGAATTAATCTAAGGATACTGAAACATTATCTAAAATAGCAACATTTTAATAGTTATTACTTATAATCATACATAGTACAATCAGATAACTTTTACCTATAATATTTGGTCAGAGATCCATGTACTATAAAGAAAAAAATCCCATCTCTACCCCACACTTTTAACATACCTGAAATTGCTACTAATATCCTTTAAGGTAAGAATTGAAAGATATAAATTTAAGTGCAAGAGCTATCTAGCAGACTGGGCCACAGCTGCAGGAAGGGTAAGCTTGACTGGGAAGGTAAGGGGCAGATCAGGACACAGGACCGAGAGCACCCGTTGGCCCACAAGACACCAGAGGCAGCAAGTAGTGGCCACGTGCCTGAGAGGTACAGGAAATGTATGTGGCAAACTCAGTGAGGGCACAGTCCATGTTTCTGTAGCTCCAGCCCCCAACATCGCCCCTAATGTATAATAGGTACTCAACTAATGCTTCCTGAACTGATTGAGGAGGGAGAGCAGGGAGGAAAAGAGAATAAGCAAAGTATTAAAGGCGAACTTTACCTCATTTATAATATTACTAGAGGCCCGATGCACGAAATTCGTGCAAGGGACTCAGCCCCCACAGCCATGGCGGCTTGCCTCGGCCCTCGCAGCCCTGGCTTCATCCAGAAGGTCATTCAGAAGGACATCTGGAAGGCTGTCCAGAAGGTTGTTTGGCTGTTCGGTCTAATTAGCATATTATGCTTTTATTATTATAGATTGCGAGCCAGTCACGCAGACACACTGTCAAGAGAATTGGATTCTTCCCTAACACAGATTTTTCCACCACACAGAAAGAGATGTCTTGACCTGTTTATACGATAGAGGGGCTGAGGATGAATAGGAGACATTCAGAGGCCTATCTGTCCTCCAGAATAATCATCTTACTAATATTATAATGAGGTACTTTACGATACAGTCGGCTTGTTCTATCCCAGTGTCTAATACGGTTTTTAAGGTTCCTTCAATGAGATAACCAAAATTGTTCTTACTTTAGGGAAGCTGGCATATATTTAGTTAAGATAACTATGCCACTTTCAGGTAAACCTAGCACATTTGTAAATTTCTGTATCAGGTACTGAAATATATCAGTCTAAATAGATTAGATACTATTTTTATTTTATTTTTGGGGAGTCTGTTTTGATTTGTTGATAGGTGCATCTTTACGAAGATATGCACACATTTCTCATGGTTTTGGAGACAGAAAGACCCACATGCTGATCAGATAAAGAAAGTCACCTTTGGAGATGATGGTCTTTTCTGCACCTGAAATATGCATGTCCACACAAAAATGCAGCTTGACAAGGACTTTGTATTAATGAGATGCATAAATATCAATCAAATAAAAATGAGGGAGCATGTGCAAGCTCTATGGGAATTACTCTGGGTAGGTTATCACAAGAGGACCTGATATCATTCTCTAGTTTGTCTACTCTGAGGTACAGCTGCTGTGGTAGAAATGGCTGGATTGCTTTCTAAACATCCATGTACTCTTCTTTTCTTAATAATAGAAACCCAAGTTTCCACTTGTCACTTTTCCTGTAGTAAAGACTTTGTTTCTCAGCCTCCTTTGTAGATAGATGTGGCCTGTGAAGATATTCAGCCCACTGTGATTTGAGCAGAAGGGTTTGTGAGATTCCTGAGCTGACTGCTTAAAGGGACCCCTGCAGTTTTGTTCTCTCCTACTTCCTCCCTCTGCTGACCTGGAATCTATACATGAAGGCTGGAGCTTCAGTGGTCATCTTGGACTATGAAGCAACCTTGAGGATGCAGGCAAACAATATCACTAGTGGAGCATAATGTCAGAAACTGTGTCACTGAAGAGGGAGTGACACTACACCACCTATGGATTACCTACATCTGGATTTCTTTTATGCAGGATAAAAATAAGCTACCTTGTTTAACCTAGTGTAATTTTTTTGTATATAAACAGGATTAAATATTAACAAATATACTTTTACAAAATGTAAGACCAATAATCTAATACAAAGAAATAACTATAGCCCTAGCTGGCTTGGCTCAGTAGATAGAGTGTTGGCCTGTGGACTGGAGGGTCCTGGGTTAGATTCCTGTCAGAGGCACATGCCTGGGTTGCAGGCTCAATCTCCAGTAGGGGGCATGCAGGAAGCAACCGATCAATGATTCTCTCCCATTATCGATGTTTCTATCTCTCTCTCCTTCTCTCTTCCTCTCTGATAGCAATAAAAAATATATTTTTTAAAAAAGAAATAACTATATATATATAGGGCCTTAGATAAGTGACAATACATTTAATTATGCTGGAGGTTCATCTAACACCTTCTGTCTACACAGAAAAAAACATAAAGAATACTTTTTTCTGACTATAAATTTTAAGTCTATGACTGTTTAGAGACTCACTGTATCTTTATTTAAAAACATTAGATATATAAAATGGTAGCTGATCTAAACTGCCAGCACAGGGCCTAAGAATAAAGGAACTGATGATTTCTTTTAAGCCATAAAACACTTTCAGGATGATGTCATTTCAATAACATTGTACTTTCTGCCTAGGAGGGCTGATTCAATTTTCTTAGTCTGATGTTGACTCGACAGACCAAGAAAATTATGTTAGCAATTTTCCCCTAGTCCGTTTACCTCAGTAGCAGTATATTTTGAGACAAATTATCAGAATCAAAGCTGGCTAATACATATCTTAGGAGGAAAAAATCCCCACTTGTATTGTACTCAACTAAATCAAGGGAAAATCAGCTTCCCTGTAAACACTACAATAAATTCAAGACAATAAAAATGAAACCCTATACATTGCACACTGCTGAACTCTTAAGACTTTTACCTATGTCTTTTGGAACCATTTTATGGGTGTAATATTATTTTATGACTCATGAGTTTAGTAGACTTGTTATTTGGAAGAAGCTTAAATACATTAGATTTTAGAAAGAGGCCCTTATTTCTTTGCCTACGGTCACTTCCAGAATTGTTTTATAGTGGATTGATTCCTTGCCTAAGCATCAATACTCATGATTCATTGCCTTATCAATGCAGAGATATAGCTACTGATATTGCAGGCTCATTTTTATATTTCATTCCTTCCCTTTTTTTAAAAAAAATATATTTTATTGATTTTTTACAGAGAGGAAGGGAGAGAGACAGAGAGTCAGAAACATCGATGAGAGAGAAACATCGATCAGCCGCCTCCTGCACATCCCCCACTGGGGATGTGCCCGCAACCCAGGTACATGCCCTTGACCGGAATCGAATCCGGGACCCTTCAGTCAGAAGGCCGACGCTCCATCCACTGAGCCAAACAGGTCTCGGCCCTTCCCTTTTTATTTACATTTTTTTGTACTGTCACTGGCTAAAGAGTAGATATATCAAATCCAGTTTCTTTTTTTTTATTTTTTATTTTGAGAGAAGACTTGAAATCTCAGAAGATGGGTAAATTAAAAAAACATTAAAATAACTGCCCAACAAATTTGACTAAATCTTTTTGCAATAATGACAATGTTCTCTTGCAACCAAACAACTAAATTGAAAATGTCAGTGACAATAACCAAAACAGGATGATATTGGCAGAAAAAACAACAAACAGACCAATGGAGCAGAAGTAATAGCCCAGAAATAAACCCACATATACGTGAGCAAATAATTTTTGATGAAGGAGCCAAGAACATATAATGAAAGAAAAAGAAAGCCTCTTTAATAAATGGTGCTGGGAAAGTTGGAAAGCCACATATAAAAGAATAAAACTAGACTGTTTATCACCATACACAAAAATTAACTCAAAATGAATCAAAGTCCTAAATATAAGATCCGAAACAATAAAATACATAAAAGAAAACATTGGTACTAAACTTATGGACCTTGGCCTTAGAGAGAATTTTATAAATTTGACCTCAAAAGCAAGGGACATAAAAGCAAAAATAAATGAATGGGACTATATCAAACTAAAAAGCTTCTGCACAGCAAAGAAATTATCCACAAAGAAAGGGCAACCAACCTAATGGGAGAAGATATTTGCAAACAACACTTCCAATAAGGTGTTAATATTCAAAATATAAAAGAACTTATACAACGCAACAACAAAAAAACAAACAATGCAATTAAAATAATTGGCCTAGGA